AGTTGGTTGAGGGGCTATGCTACAACCCGGAAGGTCACGGGTTCAAGTCCCGATGAGATCATTGGATACATATTTTTTTTCCAGTTTACCTACTCCTTCCAGCCTCACTATGGCCCCGGGGTTCGACTCAACCTCTAACAGAAATGAGTACCAGGAATTACTTAAATAATTTTCCTGTGGAGTAAAGCGTGGCCGGCGCGTAAGGCTGACAACCTTACCGTCATCTTTGAGCCGATTGTCTAGATAATGTGGGACCCTAAACGTGTCACAGCCTTATGGGCCTTCACAGCCTGTTACAGAGATACCTTTAATTTTTTTTAAATGTTTATGAGATACTTCGGAAGTTCCGTTCATGGCCGTACCAAAATCAGGCTTAATTATTCAGTTCAATAACTAGGACTGAATTGTTATAAGTGTAATGATGACCTCTTGAAGGTTGAAACATGTAGCGAGATATCTTGGCTCAATAAAGGATGATGATAACATTAGTATCGATTTCTCTTTGTTTACGTTCGTAGATATTTTTGAGTAGGCGGTGCCATTTGTGAACTGTGGACGAAAACCGGGGTTGCTCAGCATTTTGTGGTGTAAGACCTCCATATTGAATTTCAGCAGTTTGTGAGACACGTGAAAATATCCGCTTATGACTTAAACTAGGTTCTGTTATGGATCAGTATGACTGAATATCGCAATTTCTAGACATGTTTTGCAAAAGTCTGTCCTAGAGAATTTTAAGAAAACGTATCTATGGGAGCCGGGTTTTATTCGCTTAGTGGGGGGTGGAGTCCAACTGGGTCCACTCTACACGGCGGCCACTGATTGGCCTATTGTAGCCTACCCGGGTTATTATGATGATGAAGAATTTGGTGGAATGAAGATTGGCAAGGGAAACCGAAGTATTCGCAGAAAACCTGCCCAGCGTCACTTTGTTCACCACAAATCCCACTTGACCAGACCTGGGATCGAACCCGGGCCGCCGCGGTTGGAAGCCAGCGACTAACCGCTTGAGCTATGGCGCTTCCTATGGAGCTGGGATAGCGCAGTCGATATAGCGACTCGCTAAGGGTTGGAGTTCGAGTCGCGGTAGGATCAAAAAATTTTTCCAAATCGTCCAAACCGACTCTGTGGCCTACCCGGCCTCCTATCCAATGGATACCGGGGCTCTTTCCTTGTGAGTAAAGCGGCCAGGGCGTGAAGCTGACCACTCACCTCCAACTAGTGCCGAGGTCAAGGAAACGTGGATGTATGCATTTATTTCCCCGTACGTCTTCATGGCGTAGTGCTTAGATAAACATCGAGACAACTTTACGTGTTTATCCACCGATATAGGCCCTGATGCTGGGTCATAGATGAACATAACCCTCTTCATATTTTATTTGTAAAGAACGCCTAGAAACGGGTATACATATATGCCCCAAGCGGGGTAAGAATTCGTGATAGTGCTTGAGCGGTCCGAGATCTTACGCGTTTTAAAATATCGTTATCATGGCTTGTCGGATTATTGATTTGATTGAGAGAGTAGCAAGCCAGCTTCCGAATTGGTCCGCGAGCCCTTCACATAGGAAGGAGTGGCTGAGGAAAGTAGTGAACTCGATATTGTTTGTTAAAAAAGAGAACGGAAGTTCAGATAATGCGAGAGGGAAGGTCGAGATGACGTCACGAGTTGCCTTGGAGAGTTACGAGCATAAAGGGCACATATAACCTCACTTCAGGGGGGAACGCGCCTGGTGCTCCAATTATTAGTCGTCGGGATATTTTGCTGTACGTTTTTGTTGCTACTGATGGCGGTTTGGATTGTGAGTTACGGGAAAAGGAAATGTTGTGGGTGCACATGCATGCTGGAGGAGGGTTCTCATGGAGTTAGAGGACGAATCCATTCTACGTGCCATAACAGGTAACCTTCACTAAAACATTCCATGGTTCAGAGTGATTCGGAATCTCATATCTGCAGGAAATTCTCTGATATTGTGGAACCCGAAGGTTCATTACTATCGTTGTCGCAATTGGACGCCATCCCGAAACAGAAGAATCATTTCGTCTAGGCTCTCACTAATGTTAATCATCGCCGTGGTATCTCAAGATGTGTTCCTTCAGATTGTCTTGGTAATATTTTGTATGCTAAGGCCCTGTCTCATATCTCATGCTTGCTACATTCCTTATCCATCACAACCGTCTTAGTATTTGAGAGTCGGTGTGGCCAGAGAATTTGGATTTCGATTCCCGTAGAGGGCAGAGATTTTTAATCGTCGTGACCAGACCGGCTCAGGGAGCCATCCAGTCGTTACCACGAAGAATTTCCCGGGCAGCAAATCGGCCGGGGCGTGAAACTCAGCACACACTCCCTGTAGATCCGAGGTTAAGATTGCGTGGAACTATACCGCCACTCACCCATATGTCTTTATGTCTTGCTGCTTAATTAAGAATAGGGGAAACTTTATAGTGTATGGTGGATAGTACGAATTATGAGGTACCTTGTCGTGTGATCTTCTTAATCTTCCTGTTCTCTGTAATGTTACTGGTTCCACCTCGCTTTCATCCGCCACGCTCAAGTACTCCCAAATACTCCCAGATACTCTCTTCTGTTCTGCCGAGTACTCTCGTTATATAGCTTGCGCACAGACCACGCAGAAAACAGTCTATATTGTTGCAACGTATTTACTGAGCGATTGCCCAGCAACGGACTCCGTAGAAACCAGTTACGTGATAACTATAGTTAGTGCCTCGTAACTTTAGCCGCGCGGAAAGGTAAACGCTGTTGTGGAGCACGCGAAGCTGTACGCTTGCTGTGGTGACGTTCAGAGATACTCCCCGAGCGGAAAACATTGCCTACGGCGCCCAGGAATACATACACAACGTACTATACACCTGACCACACTCCAAGACGCTACATTCCAAACTGGTAGTACCCACCCTGACGTAAGCGATAAGACTGCCCCCCCCCAGCTCCGCGAGAGATGTTACGACCACTCTACCACGGGTAGAGTGTCGAGGAAGTAACAGTACCACTGTTGCGTGACGTCATTCACGAAAACGCAGATGTCACGTGACTCCTACTCACCCCTGAAATATGACGTCATCGAGCATGCGCGGAAGACTCGTTTACCGGCTGGCGCATAGAAGCGGGTTGCATAACATCGTTCCTCATCCCTTCACTCAGCAACGGGTTTACATGTCACACTATGCACAATAGCCCTATATACATTTCTAAACTCAATCATCATTTCCCCTGTATCCTCTGATCTAGGTCCTGCAACCTTCAAAAGTTCTATATTGAGTCTAAAGAATTTTTCCATTGCTGTCACACCAAACTGTGAGTCATATTCACGTTTACAGATTTTGCTACCATCACAAATAAACCACTATTTTTAATGACAAATTTCATCACTTACAAAGAGCTGCCACAAATGCATTAATTTATCAAGTGTAATTACATCTGAAAAAAAATTCAACAATGTTATTTAGTGCTGTAATAGTACTGAACTTTTAAATGTGATACAAAATAATGTTTTACTGTAAAGATTTGAATACAGTAAAGGTATATCCAGTTCTGTAAACACTGTTAATAGCCATAGATATACGAGTATGTACATACTGCTAGAAAATTAATATCTGTATTCTTGTGTCACAATTTGTGAACTACAGTAACTGCAAATATATGCTACCTCAGACACCATCTAATCACCTTTTCTTCTCTGTACAATGTTATGACGGTTTTCTTGATAAGAGAACCCGTGAGAATATTTTCCATAACTANGCGCACAGACCACGCAGAAAACAGTCTATATTGTTGCAACGTATTTACTGAGCGATTGCCCAGCAACGGACTCCGTAGAAACCAGTTACGTGATAACTATAGTTAGTGCCTCGTAACTTTAGCCGCGCGGAAAGGTAGACGCTGTTGTGGAGCACGCGAAGCTGTACGCTTGCTGTGGTGACGTTCAGAGATACTCCCCGAGCGGAAAACATTGCCTACGGCGCCCAGGAATACATACACAACGTACTATACACCTGACCACACTCCAAGACGGTACATTCCAAACTGGTAGTACCCACCCTGACGTAAGCGATAAGACTGCCCCCCCCCAGCTCCGCGAGAGATGTTACGACCACTCTACCACGGGTAGAGTGTCGAGGAAGTAACAGTACCACTGTTGCGTGACGTCATTCACGAAAACGCAGATGTCACGTGACTCCTACTCACCCCTGAAATATGACGTCATCGAGCATGCGCGGAAGACTCGTTTACCGGCTGGCGCATAGAAGCGGGTTGCATAACATCGTTCCTCATCCCTTCACTCAGCAACGGGTTTACATGTCACACTATGCACAATAGCCCTATATACATTTCTAAACTCAATCATCATTTCCCCTGTATCCTCTGATCTAGGTCCTGCAACCTTCAAAAGTTCTATATTGAGTGTAAAGAATTTTTCCATTGCTGTCACGCCAAACTGTGAGTCATATTCACGTTTACAGATTTTGCTACCATAACAAATAAACCACTATTTTAATGACGAATTTCATCACTTACAAAGAGCTGCCACAAATGCATTAATTTATCAAGTGTAATTACATCTGAAAAAAAATTCAACAATGTTATTTAGTGCTGTAATAGTACTGAACTTTTAAATGTGATACAAAATAATGTTTTACTGTAAAGATTTGAATACAGTAAAGGTATATCCAGTTCTGTAAACACTGTTAATAGCCATAGATATACGAGTATGTACATACTGCTAGAAAATTAATATCTGTATTCTTGTGTCACAATTTGTGAACTACAGTAACTGCAAATATATGCTACCTCAGACACCATCTAATCACCTTTTCTTCTCTGTACAATGTTATGACGGTTTTCTTGATAAGAGAACCCGTGAGAATATTTTCCATAACTACACAAAATATCAAAAAATGAAACTCAAGTTGGTAGTGTGTACCAGTAGGCATTACTATTGTATTAATACTCTGGAAGTAGGCATCAACTCCAAAGTAAGCCATTCTCAGACCATAGAAATTGTCATATGGAAGCACATTTTGTCATTATCACAAAATAGTTGGGTAGTGATGGTGTCAAGTACAAAACAGTCAGATTTCATGATTGATGAGAATGGTTCACGGATGGATCTTGGTGTTGCTTCCCATGTCAAACGTTTACCTTGGCTCTTCAGTTCTAACCTATATTTAAAGTTTTCAGCCTGTTCCTTTGTCCCAATCAGTTGTACTGTAGCAAAGCACTGTCCGTGTCCAGACTTCTCATGTTTCTCAAATACAAATATAAACTGGTGGTCAAAGCCCTTATCAATCATGACGCAGCACATTACTCCTACCAGACCGATGTCTTTTGGTGTCAATACAGTCTTCTCTACTTCAGTAGCTGTGATTGTTTTATGACACTTCATAAGGTGAGGCACCACCTGCTCACGGGAACCTTGCCACGTGCAAGAGGAACCCGGGAACGGACAGGAGTATGGCCGGAATTCACATGTTTCTTCGTGTTCCCTCTTCTCAGTGTGTAGAAGGGCTACTGCACAGCCATATGTTGAATGTTTGCATGGGAACATAACAGTGCTTGCAACTTTCTCCATTCCCAAGCAGCGAATGTTCCCCAAACGTGCCCTGCATGTTGGACAACGAGTCATCTTGGGGCGACAGTTAGAGCAAATAAGATGTCCATTCTTACACTGCGATATTGGAGGGAGAATATAATCAAGGCACACTGGACATTCGAACAGACTTGCGATGTGTGCCGAATCAGCTGTTGTATTGGTCGCCGTGGTTGATGAGCTTGATGTACTGTGAAGTCTTGGATGCTTTGTTGACGGCACTACCTGATTACCCATTGTGAGATTCAACTTCACAGGCCGACCTCTTGTATTCTATCGAAGTTCTGGTTCTACTTATCTTGCTTCCGCCACTAGTTCTTCTACTGGTTCCAATACTCCGAAATATTGACTGATACTGACGGATACTGACTTCTGTTCTGCTGAATACTGGCTCCTTAGGTATTTCAATTTCTCTTATAAAACCTCAATCGGACAGGCGGAAAACGCAGCTTGCCCTTTGTTGCGTAATCCCCGTGTTTACAGAGGCTTTGCTAGGCAAGGCTGCCCAGAGTTGTTTACTGCTGCTTAGCAACCAGCGCGGCTCTGCTCGGCACACAGAAACACCGCTTTCCTTATTGTTACATAACCTCGTTCGACTGTTGCATAACTTAGCAACCGACTCTTTATCCAGAGTCTGTCTTCATGGTAACTCGTTTCACATCCTGTCGCCCAACAACGGTTTGACATGTCACAATACCTTAGACCGCTCGGCCACTGTGATCCATTAATTTATTACCACCAGTAATATACTCATAGACCATCTCTGTGGTCTAGTGGTCATAGTTCCTGGCTACAGATCCAGAGGTCTGGGTTCGATTCCCTTCGCTACCAGATTTTCTGAGAAGTAGTGGGTCTGCGCATACAGGAGTGTTTAAGGTAAGATAAAAATAATTATATGTTTGTTTTAAGAATGTTCTTATTATTTTTTGTCACTACGACAAATTCTGAGTTTCACGGCCTCTTTCTTACGATGTAGCTCTGGTCTTCCTTAACCTTCGGCACTAAATTATGGTGACTGGCTAGCGTCACGTTGCGGCCACCTTATCCCCGGAAATCTGTGTGAATCCAGATGTAGTTCTGGGCGTGTTGGCGAAGAGAAAAATCTCCAACCACACCGGGACTCGAACCCCGATTTCCGGTCATAATTTTATAACATGACATTTTTGTGTCGCGTATGAAGCGAGAGGTTGCAAAGATTGCCGATGTCTGTCATTCTCAATAATCATTGAAAGAAACTAGTTTCTACATGAATTTGTGGGCGCTGTTACAGTTGTTACATTCATGGAGCTGAGCCCTTCTTGAGGAGCCACCCATTCTGCAGCTACTGAGGAACTTATAACCATTTAATGGAACCCGAGGATTCATCACCGTGTTCACAGGAGCCCTCCACTGGTCCCTGTCCTGAGCCAGATCAATCCAATCCATACCGTCCCATTCTGTCGCTCCAAGATAAATTTTAATATTGTCCATCCACCTATGTCTTGGTCTTCCCAGTGGGCTCTTTCCATCTGGCTTTCCTACCAATATCCTATATGCATTCCGCTTCGCCCCCATTCGTGTTACATGCCATGCCCATCTCATCCTCCTTGACTAGATCATTCTAAATATACTTGGAGAGGAGTACAAGTTATGAAGCTCCTCATTATGCAGTTTTCTCCAGAGTCGTTAGTTTATTAAAATTGAAACTTCGTTTCATTTGAAATAACTGAAAGAGAGCATACATTTCCATATTGTTGTTGTTATTGTCCCCGGAAGCTCGTTATACGATTAGGTACAATAGGTATGTGCAACAGTTTCAGTGTGCGTGACATACTCACAAGCATGAAGTTCATTGAGGGACAGTTTGAAGTATTGGGACCTAATATCATGGATTGGCCGCGCCATAGCTCAAGCGGTTAGTCGCTGGCTTCCCACCGCGGCGGCCCGGATTCGATCCCGGGTCTGGTCAAATGCGATTTGTGGTGGACAAAGTGGCGCTGGGGCAGGTTTTCTCCGAGTACTTCGGTTTGCCCTGCCAATCTTCATTCCACCAATTGCTCCACAATCACCCTCACCTATCATCTGTGGCTGGTACAATAGGCCAGAAGTGGGTGCAGTACAAGGGACTTAGTCCCACCCCACTAGCAGTAAAAAGTCATAGATTACCGAAAGTCATGATGACAGGCGTATACTGTGGACACAATAGCCCGAAAACTTGGAATAGGGCACGGTGCAGTACATGAGATAATTGAAAGCTTGGGCTATAGGAAAGGTTGTGCTCGTTGGGTCCCGCGGTTATTGACCGAAGACCACAGAGGTCAGCGAAAAGCCATCACCTCACAACTGCTGCAGAGATATCGACACGAAGGCGATGATTTTTTGCTCTGTATTGTGACAGATGACGAAAGCTGGTTTCACCATTTCGAGCCTGAAACGAAACGGCAGAGTATGGAATGGCGCCATTTGCATTCTCCATCAAAAAACAAGGCAAAGACAGTGCCCTCAGCTGCGAAGATGATGGGCACAGTCTTCTGGGATGCAGAGGGGTTTATTCTGGCCGAATTCCTGGAACCTGGGCAAACCATCAATGCTTCTCGGTATGTCCAGACGCTGCACAAGCTCCGTCGTGCATTGCGCGATAAACGTCCGGGACGAAACATCATCATCCTGCATGACAACGCTCGCCCCCATGCCGCCCGCCTCACATTGGAAGCAATTGCAAAGATGGGGTGGGAAATTCTTCCACACCACTACTATTGCCCAGATCTAGCACCCTCCGACTACCATCATTACGGATTTGTGAAGGATCAGCTGCGTGGACAGCGTTTTGAGACAAGGGAGGCAATTCAGAAAGTAGTGCGTCAGTGTCTTCGGATGGCTGGAACGGAATTTTACAGAAGAGGAATTTTCAAACTCCCAGAACGCTGGGAGAAATGTGTACAAAGAAGTGGCGATTATGTGGTAAAATAGAGAAAGGTCTGTAGATTGAGGTGGTGTATTTGGTTTGTCAATAATAAAGCATGTTACTTTACAAGAAATTGTTGCTCATGACTTTCAGTACGACTCTCGTGTTAACATAAAAACTTTGCCTCAGATTTTAATTTTAATTCGCATAGTGGGGGGTGGAGTCCAACTGAGTCCACTCGGCACGGCGGCCACTGATTGGCCTATTGTACCTGCCGCGGGTGATTATAATGTTGGAGAATTTGATGGAATGAAGATTGGCAGGAGAAACCGAAATACTCGGAGAGAACCTACCCCAGCTGCAATTTGTCCACCACAAATCCCACTTGAGCAGACCCGGGTTTGAACCCTGGCCGCCGCTGTGGGAAGCCAGCGACTAACCGCTTGAACTATGGGGCGGCTTTTGCCTCAGATTAATATATAGTTAAAAGTATTCTGTTCTATCCTTTATTTTTTATTCTTTTTCATTTATTTGCTATTTTAACTATACACTAATCTGAGGCGAAGTTTTTATGTTAATACCGTCTTTACGCATGTATAGGCCGCGTGCGTGTATAGGCCTCAGCACAATTTTCAGACAGAAATTATAGAAAAAATAATTTCCTTGGAATATCATTTCAGGAGTAGAAATTATTCCGAAATTTGGCAACGTTTAACATTCCTAAGTTCGCAACTAGCGAAAATAACAGTACCGCTCGGAACAAAGTCATTGCGGGGGAGAGTTATAACATTTTCGCCTTTACTTGACTTGCCTGGTTAGTTCTGAGTGAAACATGGGTCGAGTAAGAGCAGGTTATACGTCTAAATTTAAACTTCAAGTGGTTCGTTACGCACAAGAACACGGAAATCGAGCAGCAGGGGGAAAATTCGACGTTGACGAAAAAAATGTGCGAAGATGGATACTAACGAAAGATGCCCTTGAAAGAACGTCACAAAATCGACAATCTTTCCGCGGAAAGAAAGCTAAATTTCCA